ACACGTAGTAGTTATAAATATTATGAAAAAAAAAAAAAAAAACTCACAAACAAACAAAAAGTGCATACTGAAAAATAAGATATGTATTCTTTTCTAATTATGTAGAAGAAAAGAAGGACTATCAAAATTCAGTACTATTGTATGGTTTAATAACCCCCCAATAGTAGAATACTTAATTGTTAAAAAAATCCATATAATTAAGAATGAGGCAAAAAAAATCTAATATAGTTAAAAAAATCCATATTTCATCAAAATTATTTGGGAAAAGAAAGGCAGTAGTTCCCATTTTAATATCGACATACATATATAATCTAACAAAAAATAATCACCAAAAGATGCAGTAATGAGCAAAGGTGGAAGAGATCAAAGAATTCTGAACTAAAAACTCATGAACACACCAAGGCCCATTTATAATATGTGTGTGTGTGTGTGCATATATATATATATATATATTATAAATAAGTGATGAGCAAAGGTGGAAGAGATCAAAGAATTCTGAACTAAAAACTCATGAACACGCCAAGCCCCATTTATAATATGTGTGTGTATATATATATATATATATATAATGGACACATTGCAACTTAAAACTAATTCAAAGCCAAAGAAGATATATAACATATTAATCTCCATTTATGGGGGGGAAAAAGCATCAAAAAACCTCTTTAAACAAAGTTCATATATCCATGACTTGAAAAAAATAAAAAAGATTAGAAATATTCCTACCTTAAAAGAAAAAAAAAAACCCCACTAGGGTATTAATCTTCATGAAGACTTCTTCTTCTTCGTCTTCCCAAATGTAATTATATTATGATCATCATCACGAGTGGTTTTTGTCTCTCTGTAAATGCTGGCAAGAGAGCGATATTTCCGCTTTTTCGGAGGCCGAATTCCACAAATCTCTTCATCCTTTTCTTCTTCTTCTTCTTTCCCAAAAATCTCTTCAATCTTCTCCAAAGTACTTCTTAATCTTGGGATTCTATTGTTAATAATCTTCATTAATCTCTGATCAACCTCTTCATCATGATCATGATCATCTATGATGTTCTCCTTGTTGCTGTGGTTTTCTTCATCGCTAAGCTGCATAAGCTGCTGAGCCGCCGCCATGTCCAACTCCGTAAACAACTCCTGATCATCATCATCATCACGATCATGATTTTCCCTCCGCTTATCAGAATAATATTCTTCCATTTTTGGAAGAGAAAATTCGAAAAAAAAGGGAAAAAAATCAATCCCTAAAGATATCAGAGTGATGAAGATATGTATATGTTGAAGAGAGACAGGGAGAGAGAGAGATAAGAAACTGAATTTTCTTTTTTCTTCGTCTTCCTTTTTGTTTCTGTCAGTCGTTTTTTGGCTGTTTGTTTATTTATTTTTGGGTTGGTCTTGGTCTCTCTCTCTCTCTCTCTATATATATATATATATATATATAATATATATAATATGCATATAGCTTTCATTATTATTCGTTGTTATTATTTTGTCTCAGTAAGTGTTTTATGTGGCATTGATTGTTGAGAAAAGAGTTTTCTTTCCTTTAAAAAAAAAATAAAAAAGAGTTTTCTTTTTTGGCAACTTCCTGTGTACTAAGAAACTACAAAACTTTCTTGCAAAATGATGTGGAAGCTAGAAAATGGATTGGATTGGGCATTGTGTTTCACTTGCCAAGATAAACATTTGAAAAGGAGAATTAAGCATTAAAATTTCTTTACTTATTTTCACGGATTTTGACGTAGTAAATCAATTGAGCCTCACATCTCATGTTGTTTTTTTGGTGTATCATGCTTTTGGTTCTTGTAACAGACAGGACTAATGGGGAAAACTCTTCTTGAATTTCAATCTAATAAAGGAGATGTTCTTCCTGCTCACAAGGTGAAGATTCACTGTTCCCATTGACATCTTATTGAATTTGATTGTCACTGCAATATTTGTACTTTCCTCATTTATGGTATCTATGACTCAAAAAGACAAATTTTTTTGCCCCAAAATTAGATTCGCTATTTTTTTGACTAATAACACTAGGAAGTATTTCCAATAATGTTACGCTGAATGAGAAGGAAATTTCTCTCTCTCTGTGTCCCCCACCCCCCGTTTTTAATTTGTTTTTCTTAGTTGAAATTCCTTCTGCTGCATTGTGGAATTATCTTTCGCTCTACTTGCAGTTTGGCACGCATGATGTGGTTGTCTTGAGACCAAACAAGGCTGATATAGGGTCCCCTGCTCTTGGACAAGGTGTAGTTTACCGATTAAAGGTAATTACGACTTTCAGACTGAATTTTGGCTGGTTACTTTTTATATGTTATTGTCTACCGTAACAGATAACATCCTATGACGTGCATTTTGTGCTTCTTTTGGCGTGTGTAACAAACAGGACTCATCAATTACCGTCGCTTTTGATGACATCCCAGAGGAGGGTTTGAATAGTCCCCTACGACTGGAGAAGGTGGCAAATGAGGTATGAGATTTTGAATATTTTTGATGTTATGCTTTGGAATTCCTACAGTACTATGCATTGGGTATTTCGTAATTCCTTTCCAGGTGACATATCGTAGGATGAAGGATGCCTTGATACAATTGAGTAAAGGTGTGCAGAAGGGTCCTGCAGCTGATCTAGTCCCTGTCTTATTTGGAGAGAGACTGCCAGCTGTAGCCAAGAAGGATGTCACATTCAGCCCCTTTAATTCCAACTTGGATCATTCTCAGGTTAGTAATCCTAATATACCAAGCTTATATATCACTTATTATCAGTTGAATGGCAACTTTCTTTTAGATTCTTAGATTGCTTTACTCAAGTCTAGAATGTTCTTATAGAAATTCTTCACTATTCTATTTTTTTTTTTTTCCATTTCTTGTGCGGTTATGTTTCATGAGATATTTTTAGCCCCATATCACAAAATTTTCATAGTAGTTACTAAATAATCAATAATGGAGCAATGGGGTCGTAGCGAGTCTCTACGTACATGATTGTGTAATGGAAGAATTCAACAAATGCCACAATGTATTGAATATTTTCTCAAGTGTACAGACACACGCACATATAATATATTCTCAGCAATTTTTATATTATAATTTAAGCACTTTTCTCGTTTAGTTTACTATGTTTGCTACTTTTTTCTTTTCCTGCAAATTCAGAATATATGATTGATGGGCATATCAATTTATATTCTTATGAGTGTATTTGTGTGCTGTTTATTTGTTATTTTGCCTTTTGAGTTTACATGTGTGCATGTGTGGACGAAAAAGCCCTGGCTGATTTATTCTTCTTTCTTATAATCTTAGGCATCATAATTTTCTTTCTTCTTTCTCACAGAAAGAAGCAATTTCAAAGGCCTTGGCTTCAAAGAATGTATTTTTACTGCATGGGCCTCCTGGAACCGGGAAAACTACAACAGTCGTGGAAATAATCTTGCAAGAAGTAAAACATGGATCAAAGATTCTAGCTTGTGCTGCTTCAAATATTGCTGTTGATAACATTGTGGAGAGACTTGCTCGTCACAGGTACAGTTAGGCTTTGATATTTATCGTTTCTTTTAATATTTTGTTGAAGTGTCTCAATGTTATTATTTCCCTAATCCTCAGAGCAGGTCTTTTTTCCCTTTCCCTTTGATTCCTAAGTCATGCTTCCTCTTTGAGGATGTTTGTTGTATGAAAGATCTAAGTAGTTATCTTATTGTTCTTCTTGCCACCTTTGCTGCTTACTTCAAATAAATCATCATCTGAACTACATAGCTTTGTCAAGTTGAATTCCGAGAATTCCTAGTTTGTAGCCTTGAAATTACATGGCTTAATTTCATCTTCACTTGGATGCTGTTTGACCATCAAGAAAACCATTTTTTGTTAGATTGAGCTTCTCATACAGCTGTCCACCAAAGTTGTTTTAACGTGGTTAGAATCTAATGTAACCTTTAAAACTAAACTAAGGAAGACAAACTTTTTGATTAATGAAAAATCATGGTCCAGTCTCTGTCCCCAAAAGTCCCACGTATGTCAGATTCCCGGATTCTTTGCGTTGAGCATTTCAAAAAAAAAAAAAAAAAAAAAAATCTTGGGATGTTTCATATGTGGGTCATGCGGTGGATTGTCTTCACAAACGTAGTAACACTTAAGTTATATCAAGCAAACCATTACAAGTAACCACTGTTTCCATCTTCTGCTTCTTTTAATAGAGTTAAGTTGGTGAGATTGGGCCATCCTGCACGTTTACTACCTCAAGTATTGGAGAGTGCTTTGGACGCACAGGTATATGAAATCTTCAACTCCTATAACAAACAATGGGATCAAGGAACTTTTAACTTTTGGTATTGGAGAGTTAAGTTTGTTTTTTTTTTCGGTATTTTAGAATGTTATTCCATTCTCACGACTTAAATGATCGTGTATCTCAGTGTATCAACCTATTATTTCACTCACTTTCTAACATGAACATGTCATAATTGTCAAGCCTATGAGTGGCATGTTTCTGCCGTTCGCTATTGATATACCTTTCGGATATATCTCCTTTGAAAAGTTATAGCAGTATGTTTGGTATCTACTTTTTCTGCTATAGTTTTAGCCTTCTGTTTGTTGAACTAAAAGTGGAGCTGTATCCCATGTTATTTATTTGAATATTTATCCTCACAAAATATTGTCTTCTGCTTTTAGGTTCTACGAGGGGATAATAGTTCTCTAGCAAATGACATTCGTAAGGAAATGAAGGTTATTTACATTTCGTACTTACGTTATGTCACAAATTTATGAGCATTTGCATGTCAAATTGATTTCTTCTATTCATTTCTCGTTTATGCTGGTCCATCAAAAACCTCATATGGAGTTCTTCCTCAAAGTTTCTTTATCTCACTTGTGTTAACAGTTATAACTATGCATCATTTTCTCTTAAGTTCTTCTCACTCCATTTTCCAGGCACTAAATGGGAAGCTGTTGAAAACCAGAGACAAAAATGCAAGGAGGGATATCCAGAAGGAGCTTAGAACACTTTCCAAAGAAGAGCGTAAAAGGCAGCAACTAGCCGTGACAGATGTCATTAAAAATGCAGATGTCGTCCTGACGACGCTGACTGGAGCAGTTTCTCGGAAGCTGGAAAACACTTCCTTTGATTTGGTCATTATTGATGAAGCTGCTCAGGCCCTTGAGATAGCATGCTGGATAGCTCTGTTAAAGGTAATTGTATTATGTAAAAGCAAGTACATACTTGAAATGAAAACATGCATACGCTGTTGACTGTTCCATAAAAAATAAACCTGGTCATGGGAATTTTTTCAAGATCTTGGGGTAGAATCTTTCAACTTATATCTTTAAACCTTCTGAATAGTTGGGGCATTCAACACATGCTGACATAGAGTATATTCTTTCAAAATGTTGGTTGAGACCAAGAAAAACTTAAAAGTCATAATTCATAGTTTGATGATTGAAATCATTTCTGGGTTTTGTTGGGAAATACTTCAGGTGCTTTATTGCTTACTATATTATGTCAAGGGGAGAAGAAATTCGTATATTTCTTTTGTTGCTCTGGAATTCATTGTTGTGTTATTTCCTTAATATTGGAGTGTTTTTCCATGAAAATCAAATCATATACCATTTCAATTATTTGACATGTGGAACTTGTACTGCCATTCCAAGCAACACTTACGGTCTTAGTTCATTGTTTTAGGGTTCAAGATGTATACTTGCGGGGGACCATCTTCAGCTTCCTCCAACCATCCAAAGTGTTGAAGCTGAGAAGAAAGGTTTAGGTAGGACCCTTTTCGAGCGCCTTGCGGACATGTATGGAAATGACGTGATGTCCATGCTAACCGTCCAGTATCGAATGCACGAACTTATCATGAATTGGTCATCTAAGGAGCTTTACAACAGTAAGGTGTGTGTCTGAATTATTATTTTCTTTTCTTCAATCTAAGACTCTGAGGGGTGACTTTGTAGTCATTAAATTGATTTACTGGTATATTTTCATGGTTACTACAGATAAAAGCTCACTCAAGTGTTGCTGCACACGTGCTTTATGATCTTGAGGATGTAAAGAAGACCTCTTCGACTGAAGCAACTCTTCTGCTCATAGACATTGCTGGGTATGCCATACGCTATTGCCTTGAAAAATTGTGTTTTTGAGAGTACTCACTTACCTAGTTGGGACTTATATTTCTGAAGCATATAAAATAGATTTGACCACCCATTCTTTTAAATTTTGGAACTGTACAAAGCTAGGATGCAACAAACTTGTGGTAAGTTGAAGTAAAATCAACAAATTGAAATGTTAGGAAAGGTTATCAATAAGTTCCAATAGTTAATTGTTCAAGAAAGAGGGTTGTTTCGAATGTCCTAAGATCCTATGTTGAGTTAGGTTAATTGCCGCATGGTCGTTAATGACTTCGACTGAAGTTGTTGGAAAATGTCTTTATGTCTAACTAATCATGAGTGTCTTCTTACCATATGCTTCAGATGTGACATGGAAGAAAAGAAGGATGAAGAAGAAAGTACGTTGAATGAGGGTGAGGCTGAGGTTGCCATGGCCCATGCAAGGAGACTTGTTCTTAGTGGAGTTCAAGCTTCTGACATCGGGATTATCACCCCTTATAACGCTCAGGTATAAGCACTTCTCTCTGAACTTCAAGTAAGTGTCTCGTTGCCATAAGATTCTCAACTCAGGAAATATGGAAAAGATATATGGTAGCCAGTAGATTGATTGGCAACTTGGTTTGTAGTCTCATTCTCAAAACTCAAAGTACCATAGATCTTTCTATAACTATTCTGCAACTAATATTGCAGGTTGTCTTACTGAAAATGATGAAAAGCAATGAAGACAAGTTAAAGGATATGGAAATCTCAACAGTTGATGGCTTCCAGGGTAGGGAGAAGGAAGCGATCATTATTTCAATGGTTCGGTCAAACTCGAAGAAAGAGGTATTCTTATTCTTTCATCCAAGTATTGTTAATACAACTTCTTGCACTCAACTTTTGTATATTAGAAAGGGAGTTTAGTTCCGAATTTTGAAAATTTCAGGTGGGGTTTTTGAGTGACCGAAGGCGAATGAATGTGGCCGTGACACGGGCAAGAAGGCAATGCTGTCTTGTCTGTGACACTGAGACTCTGAGCAGTGATGGTTTCTTGAAACGGTTGATCGAGTACTTTGAGGAACATGGAGAGTATGCAAGTGCCTCGGAGTACATCAATGAATAAGATAAGTACATCGCGAGATGCCTCTTTGCTTATCTTCTCAGCAATCGCTATTCTACAGGCTGTTTTCAGTTATTGGAGAGTAGTTTAGGAATATCAAATATTGTTTTTTGTACATTACGTTGCTCATATTTTTGGAGCTCATAAGAATGGCAGGTGTGTTCAATTTAACACTTTAAGAAAGGAAAATAAATTGATTTCAATATCTAATATCTTTAATGTCAAGTCTTTTGGAAGTAGGCTGCTAAGATTACTGGGCAAAGCAAAAGGAAGAAGAAAAAAATAATAATCTTCTAACTTTACATCTCCATCCATGACACGTTATTTATATTTTTTTTATACAACACGAGATTGAACCTGCAACCCCCCACCCAAACCCCCAGTGCCACTAGACCAAGAGGTCTTAGGCATGAGACGTTATTTATATTGATTGTGTGAAACAGTATTCGTCTGTTTTCCCAGCATTTATTTTTCAACCCTCGTCTAAATTTACCCCATAAAATTCCAACCTTTTCTTAATTATTATCACGAGAAAAAAAGTGGGGTTGCTGAATTTGACACTAAAAGTCAATAAATTAGTTTCTCGACTTCGTTAATTAAGTCGTGAGAGGGCACAAAAAAGAATAATGCACAACATTGGGCATTATTAGAGTATGATTCTCTAAGAACAATGGGAAATTTTTCTATGTACAACTTCCAACTTCAATGGCGGAGAAGATAAGTTGTAAAAAGATGTTATCCTAAAGAGTCCAAATATTTACCAAAGAAGGAAAAAGAAAAAAGAAAAAGAGAAAAGAACAATTTTAGTCAGTTATGTTCCTTAAACTTTACCCATATCTTTTTAAGTTTTTCTTAATGCTTTGTTCTTCTCTCTTTTTTCAAATAATAGAATGTTGTATGTGGATGAAAGGACTACCTCCATATTTGACCTCTCCAGAGATGTTTCCCTGAAAATTCAAGCCCTACAAGTCAAAGACTAAAAAAGCATGCAGATACATAAATATATATATATATATATATATATATAGACACACGACCAAACAACAAACCTCATTCTCATTCTCCTCCTCATTCTCCGGAGTTATAAGTAGAAAGAATAAACTTATTCCATTCATTCTTTCTAATTACAACTACTAAGAAAATCTCTCTCTCTCTCTCTCTTTCTTTAGATGAGAAAATGAACTGATTTCTACTTAAGTGACGGAAATACTAATTAAAGGGATACTATAAAAAAGCAAGCAGTAGCCTAAAGAAAAACTCGTCTTCTACCGGTTTAAGCTACGACTACTAGTGTATAGCTAGTTTCGAAAAATCATCATCTCCACACATAGATAGAGCTTAATCCTAAAATTTTCTCAGAAGTTCCAAATGGAAGGGGCGAAAGCCAAGTCTTCGCCAACATCGCAAACTTGGAAGCCGCCGGCTTCGGGTCCTTGATCACCAACTATATCATGCACTTCAAAGAGAGCATCCCAATTAAAGCTCTTGTCAGCTAAACCTCCAAGAATATCATGGTGATCATGGAGTAGTACTTCATTGGATGATGATTCTTGTTCATCAGCCACACCACCGTCGCTTTCTTGCGACTTACCATCCCTCTCTCCTTTCAACACTCCAATCTGTTCAAGAAACTCATGCAGATCAATCTGCGGCTTCTCCTGATCATCATGCCTCTTCATCATCATTTGATTATCCTCTAGTGGGGTTTTGTCCTTCACATTGATTTGACTTTCGGGTTTTGAATAACATGAAGAAGATGAACTAGAATTGGAAGGACTACTTTGAGTCAAAACTGCATTTTGCTTGAGTTCTTGGAGCCGTTGGTGAATGACATGAACACTTGGCTGAGCATTTATGTTGAGCAAACCACAAGAGGGAAACATAGAAATGAACTTCTTTGAAGGAAGCCATTTGAACTTTGAAGGAATATTATTATTGTTGGGCTGGTGAAGGTGAGGAAGGTTGAGATAAGCATCTGGGCCGTAGAGTCTTCTTGCGGCCTCATCATAGGCCATGGCGGCCTCTTCAGCAGTGGCGAAAGAGCCCAACCAAAGCCTTGTTCTCTTCTTGGGCTCTCTGATTTCAGCCACCCATTTGCCCCATGTTCTTTGTCTTACTCCTCGATACTCGCATGAGGCGTTCAGTGGCCCACCTTTGCCTCTTGTTGGGCCTTTCTTCCATGGCTTTAAGGGAGATTTCTTGTAGTTTTCCATGAGGAACTGAGAGGAAGAAAAAGAAGAAGAAAAATATGTTTGTTTGTTTGTTTTTTTTTTCCTTCTTGAGAGTGAAAGTGGAGTGAGAGTGAAGAGTGAAGAGTGAAGAGTGAAGAGTGAAGAAATGAAAGAGTGCAACGCAATGCATGAAAGGCACGGGGATATGTAGGGAGATGGAGTGCAGTTTGGTGTAAATGTTGTCACGTTAGCTTCAAACTTCTTCTCACAAGCCCATGTGACCGTTGGTCTTTAGGTTAGATAATATTCTCCCTCATTTTCACTTTTGGTTCCACCCTTTGTTTTAATCCTTTTTATTATTTTTCTGGTCAAAAGCATGAATGGTATGTCTTATGGGAGATGGACATACGGGTTGATGTACAATATCTAAAAAAATAATAATATTGTTGAATTTACTCTTTCTTAAAGTGCATGAGTCTAGCCTTTTACATTTTACTTTTGATTAACACCTTTTTGATTAATATAATTATTTCACTAAAAATGACATTAATTAAGAGTAAGTGGTAAAAATCTAAATCCATCCACTCTAAAAGGTATTTATCTCCTTTCCCATGAAAATGTAAGAGATGAATTTCTTATTGAACGGAGGCAAAGTAATAATTTTCTATTATTGAGTGTAGAGCTTTTTTTGTTAGATATAGTACAAATGAAACCTTACAAAGAAGAAAAAAAGAAAAAAAAACTACGGCCCTGTTTATTTTACCGATTCGAGTTTTACTACAGTAAAAAGCTTTCAGAAACAGTCACATCTAATATTTTTACTACAGTAAAAAGCTCTCACATAAAGTCACATTCAAATTAAAAACTCGAATCAGCGAACTAAACAGGCCCTACATATAAAAGTTTAGAATTTTAAAATTTAGGAGGCGGCTTAATATATGTAGCTTCATGATTCTCGCTTTGTGATTTTGGTTCCTCTAATTGCCATTTGGTAATTTGGGTTTGTGAAAGAGTTTTACGATTTTATGACAACGACTTCTCGACATGAATTAGCAATGTTTCGAGAAGTTTTCTTATTGATTACAGATCTCATGTTTTATCACATGTGAGGCTTGTAAGTAATGATATATTTCTTTCATTTGACAGCTAAATTGAACCACGCTTAGAGCCTTACTATTACCCATATAATACTATTATAATAATATGATTTGAGTACGAAATCTAGCATAGCAATAAAGGACGACATATCAATACTCTTTCCTTTAGTATTTAGACAGATTCCTGTTGTCTGCTATGAGGATGAAATTATGCATCTCATGACTTGCCAAATATGGTTTGTATAGATTAAATATGGACTCTTTTGATGCTAGTGACCGTAGACTAGTGATACGAGACACTATTGATTTCTGTTTTAATAGCAAAAAAAAAAAAAAAAAAAAAAAAAGGGGGGGGGTTTTTGGGTATAAAATTAAGACATCCCTTGTGTATTTTTGTCATTTGTTAGGACACTCGTTGTTGACTTTGAAATACACAGCGCATTCAAAGTAATTCCTGTAAATATATGCTATTTATTTGTTTATTTTAATAACTTCTTAGCAGATAAGAATTTGGAAAGAAAAAGGTGAAGTAAAATAAAAGGGGAAAGAAGAGTGCATTTTGTATTTGACCTAGTAGGAGTCATGCAATTAGGAAATAAATGCCTTCCATGAAACTCTACTTCACTCTTCCTTGGATTCTTCTGTATCCGTTAGCTTCTTTTTTATTTTTTATTTTTTAATTTTTAATTTTTTTAATTTTTATATACTTTGGTTTGACTTACTCTGAAGATTTGAAGACCCACCTCACATTTTTCATTTTCACGAGCACTATTTCACGTGTTTTCTTGGCATTCACAACCTGATTCTCGGGACTCTCCTCACCTTCATCCCATGCCTTGTTTTTTCAGTACAGAGAAGGGGAGTTTGGATAAAAACATCATCAACTGCAGTGAAATCTAGTTCTTCTCAAGAAATTGCATAAAGGGTTAGGGTGTTTTTACGATAGGATCTCCTACTGGTATTGTATGTTTCTCATTACATCAACATAGTAAACACATGCGGAATAAATCATTTCAACTGCAGGTTTGACTAATGAAAAACATTACTTATAGAGTGCATTTTGCCTTCACCATTAATAAAATGGGGGTACATGCTGTTTTGTTCCACCCATAAAAATTGTGTTTTTGTCCGTTGATTTAATTTTTTCAATTATTCTTACTGGTATAATAAAATAACATGCTCCACCATAAAAATTCCCAAATAAAATACCCCACATGATGTAGTAGAAATAAGATTTTATCCTTTTGTTACGCTCGCGCTACATCACTACCGGTTGAACATGGTTCTGAAACATTAGAATCATACCAGTTTTGGAGAACTATGAACAAGTCTGACGGTTCATAAACTTGCTCTACAATGGGGTGTTTTTTTTTTTTTCTCTTTTTTTTTTTTCCCTGCCATAGAATTCTCCATGATTAGAATTATTTTGAAAAAAAAAAAAAAAAATCACCTTTTCACAAAGTGGCAAGAAATATGAGTTGGAAAATTTATGAGAGAGGAAGACCATGCAATTGGCTTCTTAATAACAAGTTAACCAACAGCAACCACATCCAGCAACTATTTTCTCTTGAACTTTACAAGGTCAAATCAACATATTATGCCTAGGAGACAACTACATTAGATAAACAAAAGGAGTTTTTGATAATATAAACAAAAGGGGTTTATTTACATAAGATCTTCATCTAACTTTCCTCGAACTATTAATGCTGATTTCTTCCAAATAAAACCAACCAAGCATTCAACAAAAGCGAACCAAGAAGAGAAATCTGCCGTGTGGTTGCGGGCTTTCAGCATCAAAATATAGTAGAATCCTGAGGATAAGCAATGAAAATAAGTTAGCATCGTTTATTTCTCTCTATTTTTTTTCCCTGAGATTTCAGTAAAAATACAATGGCCATTTTATTTGGTTCATTAATGTTTATAGCAAATTAGCAATGCTTTGATCAAAGAACCAATGAGCCTGAGGTTTTGTTTTTTGTTTTTTGACTTTTTTTAATAGCAGCAAAAATAGTTGGTTTCACACAAAGTAGAAAGTTAAAAGTGTAAAGAAAAAGTTCAAAGAATGGAAGAACAGTCAATCCCGTCCTTTCAAAAGGTTTCAATTGCCCCTAAGACTGTTTGGTCTAGTGGCACTGAGGGGTTAGGCAGGGACGGGGTTTGGGGAGAAGTTGCGGGTTCAATCCAGTGTTGTATAAAAAACAAAAAAAAAAAGTTTCAATTCCAAAAGGGCTTTGAAAGGTGTCCGAAAATTTGATTAAGAACTTAGAAGTGTCTCTACCGTGCCAGATATGATTAGAAATTAAAATTAGTTTGGGTGCAACGAAAATAGGAGGAGAAACAATAGAAGAAGCAGGGAAAAAATCAAATAAAATCGTCTAAAATGCAAGAGCAAATTGAGACCGAGCAAGAAGAAAGCAAGGAGTTTCTAACCAAAAAGAAAAAAGCACTTCTTCATAAAGCTCATTTTTAAGAAATAGACAGTTCATTACTATGTAATATTATAACGGATTTGTGTTAAATCTTTTCCAGGACACAGAAATGAACACACGCAGGTAAAAGACCCACCCAGAACACCTCACACAAAGCGAATTTAAAGGTTTGTTCAATAAAAAAAAAGATTTCATACTTGCAATTGCAAACTGACCGGTTCATTTTGATTTTGGAGTCCCTTTAGACATGTTCCTCCATTTATCCTTAAGGTCTACGGTGGTACGACCTTTCACGAACACAGAGTCGCCAAATTTCAAGATTTCCTTCCATGGTATCTTTTTTTCATGAGAAAATTTCTGTATAGCCTCCTGTAACAGCATTTTTGATGTCATAATAGTAAATAAAAAGTACAGAAAAGTACAATAGGCACACATGACTAGATAAATTAAATACTATTTCTTCCCGATTGAACCATTACAATTTGAAGGCATGACATGTTCGATGCTCGAATTTTTAGAAGTTTTACAAATTATACAATGTAAATCCGAATAATAGATGAAAAAAATTTAATAAATTGCAGATACTGTTGGTTAGATAAGGGTTTTGTATTTAAATTTGAATAAAACGGAGGATAAAGGGTTTATCATTAGAGATAAGGTTTCTAGGATTTGGGTTTATCTTTAGTTAGGATAGTTTCTATTAATAAGGTTTCTTCCTTTAGCCTATTTTATTATGTACTATTTTTTACTATTATCGAATAAGAGAGTAAAAAAGGTTCTCTCTAGAAAATTTACATGGTATCAGAGCCATGACAAAAACAGCCATGGCTGGTGCCACCAAAGGCACGAGTTCCCCAGAAGTTGCTGATGAGGTTGTTCATCAGTCCCCTATGTCTCTGTCCGATCATTCCCTTCAAATAACCATTCATAAACTAAATGGAAAGAATTGCTTAGAATGATCACAATCTATCAAACTTGTGATCGATGGTAAAGGAAAACTTGGTTACTTGACCGGAGAAATAAAACAGCCTACTGATGATGCAAAGCAGAGGAGATGGAAATCAGAAAACTCAATGGTAATTGCCTGGTTGATTAAGTCTATGGAGCCAATGATTGGGAAACCCTTCATGTTTCTCCCTACTGCCAAAGATGTTTGGGAAGCAGTTCGGGACACATACTCTGATCTGGAAAATTATTCCCAGATGTTTGAATTAAATGCCAAGATGTGAAAATCCCAGCAAGGAGATCGAGAAGTGACTGTATTACAACGAGATGATGACACTATGGCAGGAACTTGACTTAATCGAAGAGGAAGAATGGTAGAGTCCAAGTGACAGTGTTCAATACAAGAAAAAAATTGAAAGAAACCATGTGTTTGTATTCCTCGCAGGTTTAAACAAAGAGTGTAATAGCTAGAAGTAGTGCTGAGGCTGAGTATAGATCAATGGCACTAGGGATATGTGAGGTAGTATGGCTACAAAGAGTTCTCGAGGAGCTTAGAAGACCGAATGATCATCCTACGAAACTTTATTGTGACAACAAGGCTACAATCAGCATTGCGCATAATCCTATTCAACATGACAGGACAAAGCACATTGAGGTTGATAGACACTTTATAAAGGAGAAGCTCGAAAATCATCTGCACGCCATTTGTTCCAACAACACAGCAAGTTGCAGATATTCTAACAAAGGGGCTCTTAAGGCAGAAGTTTGAGTTTCTAATTAGCAAGTTGCGCATGATAGATATCTTTGCACCAACTTGAGGGGGAGTGTCGGTTAGATAAGGGTTTTGTATTTAAATTTGAATAAAATGGAGGATAAAGGGTTTATCATTAGAGAAAAGGTTTCTAGGATTTGGGTTTATCTTTAGTTAGGATAGTTTCTATTTTTTAGGAAGATAAGGTTTCTTCCTTTAGCCTATTTTATTCTGTACTATTTTTTTACTATTATCGAATAAGAGAGTAAAAACGGTTCTCTCTAGAAAATTTACAGATACCATAAGAAGTGTAGCATAAAATAGATACAGTTTTGTCCTCATAAAGCAACAATGAAAATACCTTTAGCTTCTTTTCCTCAGCTACTGTCCATGGAACCTTCTTTCGCCTTGACTGAGGGATTCCCCGGAAATTGCTGCGATTGAAAACCAGAAAAGGTTTATCCTACGACAAATAAATGCCTAACTCATTATTTTCTGATAACTAAAATGCAAAATAATATAAAACTATGGCAAACATAAAATACTGAATCTTATAGCCATTTTTGACAGTTTGACCATACAAAGAAGTGGATTAGACCACACCACAAGGTTTCAAGGAAGATAACAAGAATAAGAAGAAACAAACAAGTAGAATATTAAAAACCTACCACGGAACTTCTCTCCCTCGCAGTTTTACGCAGTAATTAGAAATGGTTAACTTGTCATCATAATCATCCTCATCATCGGAATTGATATTGAATTCATAAACAAATCTTTTTGATGCATTAATTTCTTGTCCTTTTAAAACTTCCCTTTGAACTCGTAAATCTTCAATTCCTTGATTCACAAGGTCCGTGTCGGTATTTGCATGAGATACAACATCACTCTTCCCCGGTACTTCATCTTGTTCTCCTTCAGTTCCACTTTCAGATGGGCACTCTTCGAGCACCTTTTCTTCACCTTCTTTTTCACCAGCTGTGACATGAAGCATCTCGCTATCTATACTTGTCCTTTCTTCTCTGTGCCCTAAATTGAAAGTATCATTACGTGGTGGAGAAAATTCAGCTTGCTGGTTATTGTCATCTATGTTTACATTTGTTTCAACTTGATTAGCTTCATTTTGCTCTCTCTCTCCCACCTGTTCATTCTCATGGGTTTTTCCAAGGAAAACCTCATCCTCATTCCCACCGGCATAATGAGACTTTTTCTTATTTAAAACGTTCGTGTCCTCCATTGGTCGATGTTCTGAACCCATACGAATAAATGCAGCTAGTTCTTTACGTGCCAAGGAAGAGCTCTTCTTAGCTTCAAGATATTCATTGATAGCAATAGAGTATGCACAAAAAGGGCAGTAGAAGTTGCCCTTGTCGTCAAGCGTTGCCGGAGAACCTACACATTTCTCATGAACCACCAACTGGCAATTATTAGTATTGCACACCAACAAGTGGCCGTCTTCATTAAACTTCATGCATAGATTTTGCTCTGTCCAGTCAACTACCATGGAATCATGATTATCCGTGCATTGGGAGCTTAAAAACTCATGCTTTTTCTTGGCTAAATCATTCAACTCATTGTTATGCTCATCATTATCACTCGACGTTTGTTCTTCATCACAATTGTTTATGTCCTGTTCGGCTTCACCAGCAATAATCTCCTGCTGCAACCGATCACAGGATGCAGAATTTGGTTCTAGAAATTGCAAATCATGCTCATAGCTGCTTTTGGATTCTTTAGTTGGACTCTTATGTGCAGTTTCAGCAGCGAAGGCGCCACTTGGTTCGGGGGCATTATGGGGAACCTCTGAATCATTCTTAGGCAAGTCACTCTTATCAACCTGCTCAGACCTCTTTGAAACACTACACCCATCAAGACCATCCTCTAAAACCATGCGTTCCTCCACATTTGCCAGAAGATCTCGTTGGGATGAATCTTCCAATGGTTGCTTTCCATGTATAGAAACCTGTTTCTGCTCCAAAGACTGAAAAGCCTCAGTTGGTTGGGCACAATACTCGGCCTCACCTTGGGCTTCATCAACAGAGAAATTCTGATGTCCTTCATCTCTACTGGTGACTTGAGGCATCTGAGGGGCATTACAAGGAACCTCTGACAGATTTTTATGAAATCCATTTTTACTACTTTTCTGAGACCTCTTTGTGACAGCACACTCATTGCAGCGATCCTCTAAAACCCTGCCTTCGTCCATCGTTCCCATCTCACTTTCTGCCAAGTCATGCCCCGTTGTAGCAACCGGAACATTCACTTCAGATGAATCTTTTAGTGGTTCTCTACCATGTAAAGGAACTGAATTCTGTTCCGCAGACTCATTAGCAGAAGATGCATACTGCTTCACCCTTTTAGAACTTATATGTTGAACATCAAAATTGTTTGTTTCATTACAGTTTTCTTGGAATCCGGCCATATCTTTATCAGCCAAGTCAGGCCTAGTCCTCTTAGAAGGTAAGACATTATCTCCCAATTGGTTATTCCTGTTCTCAATGATAAGAGGATCAGAGTTTACTCCAACTCTCATGTTTAGAACATCAGAGTGGTTCAAGTTAGGCCTAGAAGTAACTGAATCACGGTTATTACCATTCCTACAAATTCCATTATCCCGACTTGTGGACGCCAATCCACTCTTTTCCCTTAAGAAATCAGCATACTGATGCGTACCATTGAGAATTGCATCTTTCAGCTGCTTGTAATAGAAAATAAGAACCCAATCATGAGTGGTGAATTGAAACTTAAAATTGATGAATCAAGAAAAAGGCACAAAGAGAAATCCGCTCCTACTTGCTCTAAAGCACATTTGGGCAAACATGCCCTTTTGTGTTGAATGAAGGGGTGGATATCCCACTTGGACAACTCCAGTCCAGCTGCTCTCAAATTTGACACTGAAGTCTGAGAAAGAGGAATTCTACCATTATAATCAACACATCTTTTCGTCATTTGAGAAACATAAAAGGCACAACTGTTGGGGTGGCTATGAAAATGCATCCAAGAAATTGACACAATGAAGCAAAAATAAAACGACTTTACCTCTTGCAAAATCCGTTGGAGAACATCTTGGCAACCTTCCGATAAATCAAACTGGACTTTCGAACCCGCGGCAGAAGGAGCATCGCTTGTGATTCCATCTTGAGGAGCAATGAAGTCCTCCAAACATCTCAAAGCAATCATTTCTCGTGTATTCTTTCCCAAATCATCAGGTAATTCTGGAGCCGATTGTACTACATCTGAAAGAAGGATTAAAACAAGTGAGGCAATCTTTTTCTAACAAAACTGATTGAAACTACAATAAAGAAATGTGCTAATAACGTTCATTAAGAAAAAAAAAAGTGAGACAGAGAGAGAAAAATTCCATTATACCATGTAAAAGTGATGGTCCCACTTCTTTGAAGCTTGCCATGGCTTCGATGACCCAAAGCCAGGCCAGAACTTTCTCAGAATCAAGCATGTCATCCATGGAACAACCCTTTTCTTCAAAACCCAGAACAAACTTCAATTCATATAAGAAAAAAATGAATTACAGAGAACATAAATGAATAAGTGTGCCAAAATTTTGCTTGGCAAGTCTACAAAATCCTAATTTATCCTTCAAAATTTCCGTCTAATTGTGCTGCTTAAAAAAAAAAAAAACATATATTTATGATAAAGTTGAAAGTAAGGGCCTTTTTTTCCCCCATTGCCATCCCATTTAGTTTTCTAGTAAAGGATTTGTGATTCATCGCTTTTTAGCTAAAAAAAAAAAAAAAAAAAAGCTTAATCTAGACTGATTTTATCGGTAAACCCAATTTCTAAACAGCTTCAATAATCAACAGAAACAGGAAATTAGGTTCCAAAAACTAGGGTTCTAACTTCTACTCAAAACAAGAAAACGAAATGCAATATTATAAAGAAAAAAAAAGAAGAAGAAGTGAGATATAGAAGTTAAGTCTAATTGATCGCAGAGAAAGAAAAGTTTAAAAAAATTTCAAAATCATTCTCAACGGTTTGGACTTTGCATTACGGAAGAAAAAAAAAGGGTGAAGAAAATTAGAGAAAAAGAAGAGTTAAAGGAAGAAAAACCTTGAAATTGTTTATAAAACCCTTTTTGGCTTTATTCGTCGTGTGATAATTTAGATGAGGAGTCGTTCATCGTCATGACTGCTCATACCTGGTGAAATTGCACACAAAACAACGACAAAGAAGAGTCTGAATCTGATTCATTTGAAAACGACGTGTCGTCTGTATCTGAAGACATTGATGCAACGACACGTAGTTTTTAGTTTGAGTAAAATTCGATGTCGTTTCTACTACAAACATTTGTTTGTTTATTATCTTTTTGCTTGAAAATAGTTGTTTCCCTTATTTAGAAGAGAAAATTGACCCTCAAGGGTTATATCTTTTATTATTTATTAATATGCTTTTGATTGAGTAATTATTAACTTAAAAAAGATATTAATTAAGAGTAGGGTTAAAATTTTACAGATATTTGTCACATTTTGCAGGGCTCTCTTTTTGAGCATATTTGTCATCATGTGTCTAAAAAATGACGTGTTAATATTAATATATTAGAGTTCGGAATTGTTCTGAATTTTGGTCCATTGTTCGATATTATACTTGAAAACGTTATGTGTTTTGCTTTTTATTAACAGTTGATGAATGGAACTAGGTCAAATGAACAATTAAGGAAAATTGGATTGTGTAGCTAAATTTTCACCTAGCTCAAAATATTTGGCCATAGTTTGATTTATATTATAGTTTTTGATGTTTAACCTCATCCTTTCCTCTTTCCATTTCACGTTCTTTTTCTCTCTCCTTGTGATTGTAACAACGACAGAGACAAACCAGTGATGGCAATGCAAATTATGCATTGGATCTTCACCATTGTCGTCGAATACGCCACTCCTGATTTGAATTTGTTAGATCTAAACATATCAATTTTGTTTATTTTACTCACTTAAACTATAATCAATCGCTAATAGAACGTGATCTATCACTAATTAACCATTACTCAATCGCTAATAAAACGTGGTCTATCACTAATTAACCATTACTGATGGATAATGATAAAATTAAGTTGTCTTTGTCTTTTAACTATATAATTAATTAAAAATAGCTATTTTAAAAGTACGACTATTTATTTTAAAAAAACTTTAAATAGGTCATTTATTTTTAAATCTTTATTAATAAAATATTAATGGCGCTCAATATCACACATTAATAATAAGAAAATCACCTAGTATGAGGTCAACAAATAAAACAGGCCTTTTATTACTTGTGATGGTGATGCTCCAAAGAATTTTTCAAACCAAATTACATTAATTGCAATTGGTGGTTCGATGCTAAGTAGAAACTCAGGAGAGCCAACACTCGATAAAAGCAAGATTTAATAAGATTTTCTTGTTGTTTTTTATCCAAAGAAAAAAAAAAGAAAGAAAGAAGAAGGAACAATTATTACTCTGCAAAGCTTATTTGGACAGATTTTCCTTATGCCTTGCATTTTGCGGTTATAAAAGAAAATATATTTAACTCTATCAATTGTACACCTTCACATTTCAAATATATGGTAAAACCGTTTCTCACTCAAAATTTTATGGAAAATGCTGAGAGGCTCTGTGGAGAGCTACCTCAGCAAGACAGGGGGTGAGCCCCACAATAATGCTCTTAGTTTAAACTAGTCGGTAACTCGCTACTTGCTGCGGGTATTATTTTTATATTATACAATAATAAAAGTAGTTTATATGTATATATGTATATACATAAATATATTTAATGATTTACATTCTGTTCCAGTATAAAAAAGAAAAGTAGTTTATATATACATATGTATATACATAAGTATATATAATGAAGTAACAAAAATTCTTTACATTTTGCTCCTACTTGTTTTATCAATTTTTTGGCGTTGTGTTTTTGGGTGTAAAAAGTAAATTTTTAACAAATTAGTATTAATAATTGATGAAATTAGAAATGTTTTGATTTAGGAGTAGTTACATTACCTGGTTCTTAGACGTTTTTTAGGCTGCTATGCTTGTTTTGCTTGAGAACTGAAATGATAGAAATATCTTAAGTTATATATTTGAAATTATAAGTATTGTTTTTTATTTATAAATAATATAAATTAGTAAGTATATCTAACCTTGTGCCTGATTTTTTTTGGGTTTGGTGTTTGTGGGTGAATTGATGTTGGTCCTGGTGTTCTTGTTTCTCGGCGGACATGGAAATTATAGAATATTGCTTGTATATATGTGTTTAAAGTAGTAAGTACTATTTCTTTATTTATAACTGGTATAAATTAATATATATTTTTTTACCTTGGCTCTTTCGGCATGGTAGTTGATATTTGTGGTGACGGTATTGTGGGCTGTGTATCTTCAAATATTTTTGAAACTATTGCATTTATATGTGTTCTTTTTTTTTGAAAATATACTTGGAAAATCTTTATCTGTCCTCTTAGCTGAGCGATGATCGGTGGAATTGTCAGTGGATCGGTGAAGCCTTCATCAATTGTTAGTGCGGAGCATGGTTTTTTGATGAGGGCATGTGCTGCTTTACCAAATATAGTAATACTCATGTTTCCAGTTCCATCTTCGATTTGTGTGATGACTTTGCACCTGTATTTTATGAAATAATAGTAGATTAATGTAATAAATTATTTACTATAGTCAATAAATTTAAATAGATGTTAGTGGTAGTACATTTGAAATTTTTGTTACCATGGGGATGGCATTGTTTTTATGTGACCGTGGCTATTACACCACCAACCAATTCCTGCCTGCTTTAGCTGTCAGTAGCATCTTGGACAGGAATTATAATACCATGCTTGGTCAGCTGAAAATCCAGTTATAGTAGCTTTTACTATAAATTTTGTTCCCTATATTGATTAGGAAAAGTTGTTGGCTCAAATAGTATAATTAGAAAGAGAAAAATATAAGGAATATCATAATGCCAACCTGGTTGCCTCACTGGTCTAGTGTCTTTAGTTCTTCAATTGTTCTTTTCTTTTGTATTTTTTGTTCTTCAATGGATTGAGCTGATGTTAATGGTGCTGTTTGGAACTCAATTTCTTAGTGTTGATGAGAAAATTTGTAAATGAAAATTTAACAATGGTTAGGAGGAGAAATGATAAAGGGTTTTTAGTTTTTAAATACTATGAATTATTTTTGTTACCTTGTTTTTAATGTTCTTGTCTCTAGTATATCTGGATCGATGTAGAAGATTATGCCTGTGGTGCTGGATACATATGCATTTCTTAAGGTATTGGCAATGAATTAATTAATATCTTGGTGTGCTTTGGTGTAAGTGTTTTATTTATATATGTCATTATATATAAAAAGGGTTAAGAAAATACCTAGATATTGCTTGACTAACATTGCTGCAAAGACTGCTACAATTGGTCCTTTTATTGATTTAAGGATATTTTTGTCAAATTGATCTGCTTTATGTCCCCATAAAGTAACTTGCAGCTGTTCATTTCTAGTGGGAAAAGAAAATTAAAAAAAAAATAGGATGGGATATTTTGATTGTTATAAAAGTTTTGTGCTCTTAATGAATATAAATTTTTATTGTATGATTATGATGAAATTTGTATAGATTTACCTTATATTTTGTATCATTATTGTGCGTCGTGATGTTGACCTGCTGTTAATATTTGTTTGCTTAATACTCTACATCTTTGTTGCAATGCCAATGACATCTGTTGACAGATAAATGAATAATGTTAAGAATATAAATTAATGGATTAGTAGTGTATATTTTTATTTTGAGGAAAAAGTGATTTATGTTACTAGTTAAAATTTTGATTGTCTGGATCCTGTGCTAAAGCTGGTCAAATTCTATGAAGTAGGATATGTGGAAAGGGATGGGAAGTGCCTCTTCTGCAACTGGGACAAAAGCTATTGCACGTGCAAATTGTAGCATTGCATTATGTGGTACAACTTTGTATGTTGGTTTGTTCTGGGTAATGAAGAAGTTGTTGATGTCATATATAGCTCCTAGTTGAATTTTTTGAGAAATAACATATGAGTCACGTGCTCGGATTGATGCTTGGATTACTTCATGCTGCAAATGAAAAAGATGTGATTGTTATAAACTTTGTTATATATAATATGAAATAAAAGATAATATACTATAACGTTTGATAAAGTTATTACCTCTTCATCGACTAAGAGACAATC